CCGAGTCGAAGGTAGTGATTGTGTTTATGCATTTCGTCGCAGTAGTTTTGTATATCTCTCTCTCTCTCGTCATAGTTCAGCTTTCAAAGCGGGTCTGCTGCAGGGCAGTAAGTAATCGTTGAGTTGACGATCGGGGCAAAACAGCTCCGTGCATGGCGCTGTAAAACCAATGTTATTTTAAGCCCAATGTGATGGCGAAACGGGTGCTGTCGTTTGGCGATAGTCTAATCACGGAAGAGGATCTCCAGTCACTGGAAATGGGGTTGTGGCTCGGTGACAGTGTTATTTCATTCGCGTTCGAATATTTCCAAAAGATTTTTGAGGAGGATGTCAAGAAAAAGAAGGTTGGTTTTAAATTTCGGAAAAGTGCGGAAGTGCGAAAAACCTTCATTTTTGCTCCTTCAAACTGTGCTTGCTTTGGCGATCTTTTGTTTCATCGTAAAAAGCTCCATTACTGCAACTAACAACCCCATCCCTGGTTGCTGTAATCGATGTTACCGCGTGCGATAACTGTTAATGATTCCAAAATTCGCATCTACGCTTTTTTTCGACGTCCTTCCGGAACGAGACCTTGCACGTTGTGTGGTTTTTTAAATCATCTGTAAAGGACATGCTCCAAGTTGTTGTACTGAGCCACCTTCTTGGCTGAAATTTTATTATTTCTTGGTGTGGGAATTTTGAAACGTAGGAGGCTAGAGCCGTCGGAACACACGGCCTCCATAAAAATTGGCGTATTTTTGTACCTGGGGCTGTTAAAGCTCGTTCATCCGATACAGAGAGGCTGTTCTACACCATTCTGATATTTCTTTTTACACGCAGCAGCGGCAACGCAAAATTCATATTGTCAAAACCGTTTTATGTGTTTTTGGATTTTTGTATGGGATTTTCAGTTCACAAACACAGAAGCTAGGAAGCAGAAAAATTAGAAGAACGTTTCCACCCCCCACCCTTCCTCTCAGCCCCCCTTCCCTCCGTTCCCCCTGTCTCCCCTCGCCTTCCCCTCCTCCTCCAATGTTCTACTACGCAAATTACGGGCATGCCTGGGCCTCAAGTAGAAGTGGGAGTTTTGTTGCAAAATTTGCTAACTCGGGAAACAAAAGAACTGGGGAACTTGTTTTATGCGTTTGTACGACTCAGCGGATCTAAACTTAGCTTTCACGTGCGCCCAGCTCTCACGTGCAGACGCTTGGAGGTTTTGGCCGGAAATTACTGGCATCTTTCTAACTCGGGAATCTGATAAGTAGAAATACCTGGAGTTTTCGAAGGATGCTTCCTGCCCGTGTACTCCAGAACTTTTAAATTCAGCTTGCAAGTGTTTTGTTTTTCATGGGTGAAAACCTGAAAGTTGTGATGGCAAATTTCTAACCCAGGGACCAGAAGAGACAGGAAGCTGGAATCTTACGACGTCCTTTGTGACTAAGCTGCGTGAAAGCATGACTGCACCGGCAACCGTGATGTGCGCTTGTATTTTTATGCGTTTTTTGCAGCTATGCAATGCAAAAAACACATATTGACGAGAGGTTGTCTGTGTGTGCGCTGCGCGTCTGTACCGATTTTTCATCTCGAGACCCACAAAATCTACGGGACTGAAGCATGGGGAACTTAATCTGCATGCGAGTACGGCCCCCATCTCCGGAATGGGCGCTCTTACCCGCGTGGTACCCACGTACGGATCCGTGAAAGTTTTTTGCGCGTAAGTTGCTAAATCAGGAGCCAGGAAAGCTAGAAAGCTGAAATTTTGAGGCGGTGTTTCCTGACAGTGCTGGCGGCCA